CCTGGCGGATGTTCTGGAAGACTGTGGCACTAGCTGCAGCTCTGGCATTAAAATCTCCACTAATGCAAAAAAAAAAAAAAAAAGTATCAGCAAACTGAATTTCAAGGTCCAGCAGAGGGGTGAGTAGGTTCCCAAACATGAAAAAAAAAAAAGCCCAAAATGCTACAGGTGCTGGGTGTGCTATACCAGTCCAAGAGATAAGACTGCTGACTGTGCTGAGGATTAAAACCAACACTGACACCCCAGGCTGAGGAATTGTTTTGGAGATTAGATCTCTGAGTCAGCTGATACAGAGATAGCTAATCCTTCTTTTCCATAACCTTTGCAGTAGGTTTTAACTAAAGAAATTAGAATTGTGAGTGACAGTCTCAGAAGATAAGAAAGTGTGACTCCAATGGAAATAGGATTCTAACAAACAAAAAATGTTGGATTTGTACAAAAAGAGTCCTGTCTTATAAAATTGGTTTCTCTATCCCATGACATTGCAAAAGAACAGATTTCTAGTGTTATCTGGATTTCAACCCAGTGGTCCTCGAAGTTAGAGTCATAAAATCACCTGGGGGCTTGTTAAAATCACAGGGTCCCAGCCCTCACCTCTGCCAGGGGCCTAGGAATCTGCATTTTACTGGGCTCCAAGACAGGTGGTCCACAAGTCACACTTTCACCAACCCTAATCTAGTGACAGAGTCCCTGGGTGGTGCAAACGTTAATGCACTTGACTGCTAACTGAAAAGTTGGAGGTTCAGGTCCCCCCAGAGGCACCTTGGAAGAAAGTCATAACTTCTGAAAAACCAGCCATTGACAACTCTCAGACACAGATAAAGATGCCTTGAGTCAGAATCAACTTCACAGCAACTAGTTTGGTTTTAATCAATGAATATTATTATATATCCTTCATCTGGAATAGTAGATGTTGAATCACAGTCTAGATTGTGACATTTGTCCAAATCTCCAACCCCAGTTTAGAGAATCCAACTGACCTAAGATACATTTTCATGTTTCTTTTGTTTATTCTTTCAGTCCATGTGTTTTTATTAATAATCCCCCATTTAGCAGGTACTCTGCCAGTCCCTACAGATATATCTATAGATAAGACAGATATCGTCCTTCTTCTAGTGGAACTTACATTTTAGTCAAGATTGTTGGATTCGAGCAAATAATTATTTTCTCTATATGGAAAAGCCTGCTAAGATGGAAACAGAATCTCTAAGGGTTGGGAGGGATAGCAAACATCCTTATGTATAGCTAAGGAGCTCTGGTGCTGTAGTGGTTAAGGCAATTGGCTGCTAACTAGAATGTCAGCTGTTTGAACCTACCAGCCACTCTGCAGAAGAAAGATGAGGCCGTCTGCTTCTGTAAAGATTCACAGCCTTGGAAACTCACTTGACTGGATGGCAGTAAGTTTGGGGTTTTTTGGTTAGTATAACTATCATGTAATGATAGTTGTATTATCCCAAAAACTCTGAGTGTTTATCCACCCAACAGGTACTTAAACATTTCCAGGGACAGGGAGCTCACCATCAGATAATTGAGGCCATACTAAATTTTCCTTCCCTGAAACGTCTACCTCTCAGTCTACTTGTCTTTTTCAAAACATGTAGAACAAGTTAATCCCTCTTCCCACAATAGAATCATTAAAATATTCAGAGACAAA